GTCAGTGGTGACATACGGTAGGCGCGATTGAAATTGGCCCAGTTCCCGGTACCATCGATTGATTAGGGTTGCAAAGTCACATCGATTGATTAGGGTTGCTGGGTCGTTGCCGGCTACTAGCTCAGCAATTCTGGGATTCAGACCCCTTTGAAACTTCGCCATCAGAAAGTCTGGTAAAGGCATTGCTCCTCTGTACGTTGCCAATCTTAGTAACTCATTAAACTTAGCATGATACTGGTCCACCGTCATCGTTCCTTGAACCAGTTTGTCAAATTCTCCTTGTTTACTATCCCGGATTGACATCGAAAAGTATTTCTCCAAGAACATTTCCTCGAACACGGCCCAAGTTATAACCGCATTCTGCATTTCCAACGGTTGGGAAGCATTCGCCCACCAGTGGTGAGCATCTCCTTCCAGCATGTACGTCGAGAATAGCACCTTCTGATCGTCGGTGCATTGTATAACTCGAAAAATCTTGTCCATTGCTTGCAGCCATTGTACAGCTGCCATTGAGTCAAGACTTCCTTGAAAGGAGGGTGGTTTGTGCTTTCTAAACGTCAACAGTAGTCCTTGGATATCTTGACCTGCCGCACCGTTTCCTGGAGGAGGTCGGGGTCCTTCACCATGACCCCCGGCTCCTGTTCCCGAGCCGCTTGCTCCGTTATTGTTTGCATTAGCATTTGGGTTCCTTCTGATCTCATTCATTATACAGCAAATGGTTAGTGTTCCATCCTAATCTGAAATTTTGCTCTGATACCATAAATGAAAAAATGTAAATACATATAGGGTGCACCTTCATCATGCATTCAACGCGCGGAAGTCTAAATTTAAACTTTACGAATGCAAATATCAGAGTGCGGAATGGAAACACATAACCATACTTATGCCATATAAAATTAAAAGCGTTAAAACGTCAATACAAAATAAATAACACTAAACATTATTTAATGTAATCCCAAAAAGATTAACTAATCATAAATAAAAACATAATTTATGCCGCATCATAAGCCCAGTCATAATGTGGTTGTGGTTCCTCTAGCCATTGTGTACTTAGTGCTTCATCGAAATCATAATGTGGAAAAGCTTCTATTAATAATTTCATAGCCTCAGTCCATAGGCCTCTATCTGTTAGATCCTTTAGTTTCTCTTCCCAGGTAGGTGGAGTTTCTTCTTCTTTACGTACCAGTCTCATACCCTTTCTTTCCCACATAACTTTCTTATTACTTTCCTTCATCTTTTCCTGAAATGGGTGGTCAAGGGGGGTGAGATTTTGGGGAAAATCTCAGTAAGGTTCACAGCTGGAGCATTCTCCAACTATGACGCTTACTCCTGCAACAGTTTATAATAACAATACAAAATGAAACATTTAACATCATCATATAAAAATATCATGCCATCATCATCATCATCATATTCCTGCCGGCTTTTACGGACTTACGGAGATACCCAGAGTCCTCGTCAGGTTGCAACTGGAGTATCAGTGCACAGGCCAACATTTAATAGCATGGTTTTAAGTTTCAAAAATATCATAATCACATAATGTAAAGCACTATAAACATATTGCAGTCAGACCATAACTTATCATAGTTTCATAATGGTGGCATACATAGAGAGATTACTTCAACAACTGTAAACACTTACAGTGCTTGTCGTTCTTTACTTGTATACTTTCAACTTTTGATCTCTTTACTTGCCTGTTTGCTCCCTTGACTCCCTAACATCATCATATCATCTTTTAGTAACTTATATAACATTCAACATTTGTGTTTTATCCATGTATAGGTCTCGGCTTTGCAGGTTTAATTACCTAGAGGAGTTGTTTTGCTTACTTACCCACTTGTGTAGGTTTTAGGACATTATTAGGTCATCATAACACTTAATAGAATTATTAAAGATTTCATTCTAGGCATGTATAGGTTCGGCCACCATAGATAAACATCCAGGAATATAATTTTTAAAACATGCTTTCAATTATATTATTAACTTAACATGGTTAGATCCTTTCAACATTAATCAAATAAAACCTCTTTTAGCTACATACCATTCGGCCTTATTGCCCTAAAATACCTAGGGGATTACTTCTAAAACATGCTTCTAACATTATTGATAATTTATCATATTTAAATCCTAGAGCATCATTCAAAACATCATCTTATATATTCGGCCAACTAAGGTTATGATCATGCAAAATTGATTTAGAACCTAGGCTACTAAACATGCTAATCTAACATCATCATTTCATCATCTTTCATATCATTTAAACATCTCTTCATGCTTATAATTATCATACATGGTTCGGCCTTCTAGGGATCATATACTTAGGATATCACTTTCATGCTTTTACATGTCATTCCTAACCAAGAAGGTTCATAGGCTTACCTTTGATGATGATCAACGACTTAAGGAAACACTTCTTGACCTTTGACTACTTTGAATCTTCTTGAATGAACTTCCTTCCTCCTTGAACATACAAGGCCGCAAGCTTAAAGAGAGGAGAAGAGGGATTTTCTTGCTTAGAGATGAAGGGTTCTTTGGTGGAATTGTTAGGAAGAAGGACTAAGATCCAGGCTTGTATTTGATCTTGGAACAATTAGGTATTTCTCACTAACACACTCACCATTTCGAAGCACTCATGGACTTCACAAAATGAACTAAACTCTTTGTTCTTTCCTTTGGTAGTGCCACGACTATAGAGGGAAAAAGGAGAGACTAAAGCTTGTTCAAATAGGCAACCTAGAAGCCTTGCCATTACTTGATTGCTGGTAGGTTTCGATCACATTAAATTAGAGTAAGGTGGTGATTTGTTGTCATAGGTTAGATTGCTTAATTTAGGGACAAGAACATGATGTCAATTTCCTTGATTAAGGAAATTTAGTGATTGTTTGATTTAAGGAATTGATGATGTGTGACTAATCGTCATTAAAAGTTGCTCCCTTGATTTAAGGGATTGATGAGGTGTGACTAATCGTCATAAAGGTTGCTTCCTTGATTTAAGAAACAGAATTATTTGATTGATTGACATATTGTCATCAATTTGCTTGATTTAGGGAAAGTGATTGACTACTAATCATCATAATCCTAACTTCCTTGTTTAAAGGAATTTGACTGGCTTGACTTAAGGAAATTCGATTTGCATTTAATGGCTTGAAAATCAAATAAAATCAAATTCATTTCCTACACCTAGGCCGCGGATTTTAAATGCTTGGAAGGAAAAGATTTCCTTTAATTTTGGACCATGATTTATTCCTTAAGATTATGGACCTTTAACCTATTAACCTGACCTAATTTGTGCCTATTTTTCCATGATTTTATGACACTTTAAATTGACTTCTTAGAGCTTGTTTTCTCTAGTAAAACCGTGGGCTTCTTGCTTGTAGGGAAAGAATTCTAATTTAATTCCTAGTCATATAGTACTTCTTTAGGTTTATTATGTCATGGCCTTACTTTGGGCTTTAACTTGATTTGGGTTTCATTTACCTTATTGGACTTTACTTTATCATATAGAGCTTTCTTTGTATCACTTGGACTTGTCCACATTAAATGGAATTAAAACTTCCTTTGTTGGGTTATACTTTGATCCATGAATTCATTGGATCCCTAATGCTTATGTCTATGGTCCATTGGACCCATACTTCTAATTTACTTAATCATAAACTATTTCATCTGAAATGTCTCGTTTATTAATTATCATAATTCTTCATTAATCATGATACAATATTTAGGGTTGTTATACGAATCAACTATGGCAAACACAGATAGTTGTTAAAAAGAAAAATTAAGTTGGGCAATCTTCAGTAGGGATTCCCTCTTCAGCTATTGAGACCCCCTCAGTGGCGTCCTCCCCAGTAGTGTCTTCAACGTTATTCCTAGATGAAGCTTCCTCACCAATACCTTCCAAAGGAAGTGTTGCCAATAACACCATCGCCAACGATGGGATCCGCACGACGGGATCTCTACGGCATCAGTAGGTTCGCCATCTATGGGTTGCTCTTCGCTCAGCACATGGTGGTCGCCTAAAGGCGAGTCACCGAACTTGGCTGGTTCTTCCTCTACATCATCCTCTTCCTCATCAGAGTCAGGCCCTTCCTGTATCACAGTCGTCTCGCCATTATAGAGTTTATGAAGCAGGCGTTTCCCTTCCACCACATAATCGGCACTCAAGCTCGAAGCATCTATCTTAGGATATCGAAATTGAACCTGATTCAGGGCGTTGTTAAAAGAATCATAAAAAACTGAAGGCAAGGCAAGCTCCAGCTCCTGTACTCGCCCAGAAGCTTTTTTAAAATCCTCTTGGGCGGCATGGAAGTTACCACATACGCCAGTCAACTCAACAGATAACGCATACTTCTCCGACTGAAGGGCAGCTTTCTCGGCAGTCAACTGGCTATTCGCCGCCTGGAGCCCCTTTTTCTCGGTTGAAGACTCATCCAATAACTTTGATAAGTCATCCTTCTCCTGCGACAGGCGTTGAACCACATCACTAGCCCCCTTCAGTTCTTGGTTGCTATCAGATAAAGTTTTATTGGTTGCCTTCAGGTCACTAATTTCCTTACCCAACCGCCCGATCTCGGCCGTTAAGGACTCAATCTTGCGCCCTTTCTGTACCAAGTCATCATGCTGGGTAGAACAACGGCTGTCAACAGCAAGAGTAGCCTCCCGGGTTCCCACAATCTGACCGATCATTACCTGTGCACAGTCAATGATGTCTTGGCGATTAATTTGCTGTGGTACCAACACGTTTAAATCAGGATTAGGGAAACTAGAGTTCAGATCCCTCTCGGATAGCTTCAGGATCTGCACTAACGAAACAGCCGCATGCGTTGAAGTTCCTTCGACAGTCGCCATGACAGGTACCCCCGCCCTGTCCGGAGTATCGACCACCACCATGTCATCACCGCCAGGGGCGTCCGAGAAACTCTCCATGGCAAATGAGAGACTACCACCTGATTGACCAGACTCAGTCGGCTCCACCTTAACCCTTTTAGTTCCTTTAGGCGAGCTTAAATCCTCGCTAGCAACCCTCTTCCTTCCAGAAGCTGTTGGTTTAGGAGGAATAACTTCAGGTGCAGAAGGGTTGACCGCCGACTCTGGGCATTCTCCTGCACATCCTTAATAACCGGGCCGCCAGTCCTCCTAGCAAGCTCCTCGGCAAGAATGTCCGCTGCAGACCAGACCTTCCTTTTAACAATGTTCACCACTTTCCTTTTTCCCTTGTCGACTCCCTTACTTGGGGTGACGGGAGCGACAACAGGAGCGACAACAAGTGATTTATGTAACATTTTTGCACTATTTCTTGTGCGCACAAATATTATAGTTTGCCCCAGATTCTCTTCTATTTCGAGTATGTATTCTTTTTTCACTTCAATCTTAGAGAGTTCATCAGGACAATGAACTTTATATTGCTTTACGACATCTAAAGATAGTTCCTTCACAAAAAGTGTATTATAATCCTGCTTAACTGTCCTCGAAACAAAATTCTGGACAATGTCATTCAATGTAGCAGAAAACAGAAGAACCTAGACATACACAAGTCAATCAATATCTTCTTAGATAAGAAAAGAAACTAAAAAAACAACTACATCACATACAAGCACACACAACATTTGAATCACATACAAAGCAACCAATCTTGGTAAAATGTTCATTTAAGTACAGACACAATGGTTATGGTGCACAAAAATAACAAGGAACAGTTATAATTCCATTCTACATAGATTCAAATCAAATTATAGCAAACCATTAGCATCAATCAAATTAACATTCAATCTTCATATCTATGCAATATTATTTGATTGAGCATGATGTACTACGTAAAAAATTCCTCATACTTTTTTCTGTTCTTATAAGATGAATGCATCACTTTACTCTTTTAAATATACTTCACAAGTTGCACAAGGGCTCAGGGAGAGCATGACCTTCCATGAATTGGAAGGTGTTCTACCCGAACAGGTTGAAGGATGGGTGACGGTAATTTAAATAACATGTATACATGGATGTGTTGTCCCTATGGATTGATAAATTCTTGCATAGATTTGATCTACACAAGTCATATAAATAAAACCAAAACATAAACTAATACATTATCATTTTAAAAGTAGTAGATTGACACATATATCATGTAGTTATTTAATGTAAAATGACGATGTGTCAGTGTGTACATAGCTTAGGCTATGCAACTTGTAGACTAAGTCTATGCCAGAATTTCTTGGATGGATGAAAATGCCATGCACACAAGCACACTACGCAAGAAAGAGTTCAACAAACCTGACAGTTAGAATTGAATTTTTCTATTCCTTTCATTATCCTCAGGGAATCATCTTTAAATCCATCCTGCAAAGTTTACAGTAATTAAGCAAGTTAGGGCACAACATATTTAGAAACCGAACTGCGAATACCTCTGCTTTAAAAAACAAAAGAAAATCACAATACTAATTCAGTAAACCATAACAATTCCCTGAACCTAAAACTAGGTCCTAGGATCTCTAGAATACTTACTAGAGAGTAATTACTAACTAGAAAAAGATATATATTATCAAGAGTTAAAAGTTAAAACAAGCGGTCTACTAGTGCACTCTTCCTCTTTATCCATCATTAAAGGAGGAGAGTCACAACTTACCATTTAATTGTAACTTATTCTATTAAAAAACAAGGGTGTTGCCAACTCCCCAAAAGATTGTAACAATAATAAGCTCAGGGAGAATGATAAGGCTATGTGCTTGCCTAGTCCAAGGACAATGAAACCTCAAATTCTAAATAAACAACATTTCATTATCACGATAGAATTACCTTAGCAAGCATTTGATCAGCCTCATCAAAAACAAGAATCTTCAACCTTGTCACCCCAAGTTTCTTATAATTCATCCACTTATTAATCGTGCCAGGGGTCCCAATAACCACTTGAGCCATAATCGGTGCCCGTTTCGCTATCGGCAAAGCATCCCTACTGTCTGCTGGTATAGCACATTCTGAGCTAATCCCCGTGTACTTTCCCATCTTTCGGAGAACTTCAGTATTCTGCCACACAACACAATAATCATCAAGCTACAACTAACACAGTCACAAATCACAATGTTCGATAACAGTGATTAACAAACGAATAAAAAAAAAGGAAAGTTCACCAATGCCGGTTTGTTTTAGAATCATCTATGGCCCAGTGTTTTTTATCACATATGTCCCATTGATTTGTAAAAAATAAAAAAATCACGAGGAAAAGTTCGATAACAGTGATTAACAAACGAATAAAAAAAAAACAAACAGGAAAGTTCACCGAAGCTGTTTTGCTTTAGAATCACCTATGACATATGTTCCATGGTTTGTAAAAGTAAAAAATCACGGGAGCAGATAAAAAAACATATACTTTTGCAAACCACACGAGTGATAAAAAATAATCAAAGGCATAGGTGATTTTGCAGTAAATGGTTTGTTTTAGAATTACCTATGCCTTGAGATTTTTTTTTATCACATATACCCATGTGGTTTGTGAAAAAAAAATTACAGCTGCATGTGTGATAAAAAACATAACTTTTTGCAAATAGACAGTTTAATATTAAAATTACAAAAAAGTTTTCATAGCTATATTTCAATCTTCTTCTGTTTCTTCTAATGTTTTGAGAGATAGATATTAAAACAAGTTTAATATATCCTATACAAATAATGGTGGGTCCAAGTAATGTTGCTTATTTTATTTTTTATTTTTTTTAAAAAAATCTCTGAATAAGGAAAATGAAAGGATCAAAATTGATATTGATTTGGTATACGGAGAATTGATAAGGTTCTGTACTAGTTTAAAGCTATTGCTGGTTTCATTTGACTTTTTTGTCTCTCTCCAATTAAACTCAAATTGAAACCACTTATGCAATTGAACCCAATAACATTATTGTAAATCAATTTTGAAGTTCATGAGAATAAATGTAACTGAAGCTACAATGTTCATGCTTCATCACCACTCCAATTATTCTTCACCTTTGGACCTGTGGGTCCTTCCGCTCCCAGCACTTCCTTTGGTAAACTCTTTACAAAATTTTCAAAAGCAGATTTTAGCTTCCCAGGCAACAACTTCTCCACCTTCTTCAACTCATCATCTATACTGTAATCAGTTTTTGGACCCCATTCCCTGAAATAGTTCAACCAAGCTGGCTCTACAACTGCAGATCCTAAATACTCTGCACAAACCAATTCATATGTCCCCATATCCATGACTAAGTCACCCTTCGAATAATTACTCAGATGCACGGATTACTCAAAGGTGTTTAATATTTACTTAACGACGTTTAATGTAAATTTAATAGATATGTTTAATTGTTGGAATGAGATAGTATAGGTGGGTTAATTGCATCAATCTAAAGTTTAGGGTAGTTTTTTGAAACACCACCTAAATTCAAGGTGGTTTTAGGTAATTTAGCCTAAAAAAAACAACGGAAAAAAAAAGAAGAAAAAAGAAAAACTTCTAGGGCTCACGATCAGATATCCCTTTGGAGGGATATAGCTTTTCTTCCGGAAGTATGGGGCCACCAGCTATTGCATTCTTAGTTATGGGTTATTTAATCCATGATAGAATAAGATTATATGTCGATTTAAAAAAGCAATGTCTTAGAACCTTACCTGAATAGCCAACTCCCTGGTTGGGCAAATGCAGAAAGCTTGAGGAGCCTGCAACTTTGGATCAACTCGACTAAGCATACCAAGAAGGAAACACGTGGTTTTTCCGGAACCGTTATGCGCGTGTACGATCAAATCCCTATTCGGAGGATTCAAGATCATAGGCAAGGTTACGGCTTGGATCTTACTAGGTTTCTGGAACTTCATCTCCACGTAGAGTCCCTTCAAAAGCTCCGGTGAGAGATTCAATTCTTCGAAGGTGGTAGCTGACGTGTAAGGAGTGTCGCCGGACGAAACCTGCACCGAAATTCAAAACCATAAACCGTCAATTTCTCGCCGAGAAAGAGAGAAAAGAGAAATCGGGAATGGGGATCGAACCAACCGCTTGGATGTTGGAGTCTTCAGGCTCGTCCAAGAACTTGGGAGAAGGCTTCTTGTTCTCGTCGCTCGTTAATCCGACGACGTTGAGCGACGAGGAAGCCGGCGCCGGCGCCGGCGGATGAGCATCGCTGGCGGAGGTGGTTTCGGCGGTGGATGGTTCTGCCATAGCAGTAGACGA